TCCATTGACCCAATTTAAGGTTAATCAGACCCGACTAAGGATTGAGTTTCTTGGACTAAGGTTGAATTGACGAGTCAGACTGACTTTGTAGCAATGGTATTTAAGAATTTTCAGAAGTTGGAGGTCAAATATGTTGGCTTACTTAGATCTATTTGACCTGATCCAAAGTCGATAAGAGTCGACTGAGGGCTGATTGACGTGGACTAAGGCCTGGTTGAAAAATCTATTCGTCTTTGTGGCTATGATAGTAAAACCATTCACACTTGTGCACAGTGACGAGTCTCCATTTAACAAAATTTATAAATCATTTATAAATTATCAAATTTTATTTTTAATTACACTTTTCAATAGATTCGTAAGTACTGTACTAATTTATGAGTCATTTATATATATTTACAATTATCCCAAAGGAGACTAAGCTAATTGTGCTTGTAGCATATATAACGACTCGAGGAGCAAGATCTAACGTCCACTAATCACTACAATAAGATTAATCGTCAATCTCGTCTTTTGTTTTATCTGATGGTCAAGTGTTTCAATCTCAATCGTCAAGTCAACAATTGCTCCACATCAAATCTTTTATTTTTCACGAGATGAAAACTCAAAAAAGATTAATCTCAAGCTATGGAAAGTCAACTTATAAAAACAAATGGTTCTTCATTCCATTTACACTCTCTTTTACAAGAAATGCACACCAATTTTAAAGAGGAGGATATAAGAAAATAGAAAAACACATTGAAGGAAGGTAAAGAATATTTATATATGAATACAAAAATTTACCAAAGTAAATAATGAAAAAGGTAAGATAAGCCAAGATCACACGCTCCCAACTCAACCTGTAGTAGATTTGATTGGTTTAAATTTAGAAATGTCAACAAGCTCGCCAAACAGCTTGTCCTCTGCCTTCGGGACCTTCCCGGATGGGACGTAAGATGGAGTCGAGAATTGATACGAAGAGTTCCTGATGACGTCATTGTCCTTCACAGATAAACCAGACATGCTTTTCTCAAGGAATTGAGAATTTGGTTGTTGGCTGTATCCATAGCCGTAGCTTGACATTTGGTTGCCATATACTTGTTGAGGGTACATATACGCCATCTGATCAGATTGCATTGGCTGAGGAAACATAGTCATCGACTGCAGACCGAGGATTGGTTGAGAATGCAAGCCCGCCAGTTGGTTATTCTGTATAGCTTGGTT